CTTTTGACGACTAATGCCCTAGCCTAGGTACTTGAGATACCCGTTGCATCATCTTGTGTCATTTCAGCATAGTGGTAGAGTAATAAATTTTCCCACGGTCAAAGCTAAATTTTCCTGTTCTAGCATTGTTATAAAACTTGCTAGTCAAAGATTGAATGATTACATGCTCTCTCTCTTGTATTCACCGTAAAGTTCCCCATATAAGAATCAAGTCTACAGTACCTTAGGAGGTTTCAACTTCTGTAAATAACCTTGCCTGGAACTTTGAATTGTTTGGCGCCGGTTTCTTCGTTGTTTGTCCAGGCTTCTGAGTGGCGGCACCAGATGAGACAATTGGATGGCAATCGTCAATCTGAAATTTGAAAATACGAGTTTTCTGGACCATCCATGCGAAAATAATAAAGTCCTACCACAACAACGTTGTTACTCGTCAGTGTGCTTGCTGAGATAGTGACCGGTTGACCATTGACGGCAAATGAGCACTGTAATAAGACGATCTTACAAGCGAAATTAGAAAATGAGGTTTTTTATACCGTACCTGCCCTCCGGTGAGTGCGCACACTGTGTATGTAGCCATCTCGAACTCTGGTGAGGTGTTGAGCAACATTGAAAATTCCATCGCTTGCCAGTTGTACCATGAAAATTGCAGCGAAAGCTCTACACCCTAGATAGTTTCGAAATTTTTTTCAAGGTCCAGTATTCAGAGTTTTGATAGTTATTGTATCTCAACTTTGATAATTGATCTCTCAGTTTTCTAAGTAGCCTCGTCTTGTTGATGCTGTAATTCTTGAATTCCACAATACTGTAATTTGCTCACAACCAGACTTTTTGTTTTTCGAAATTCAACAAGACTTAATTAACGCATAAAGTTACACATCAAATCAATATTTGGAGATTTTTTTTTGGAAAAATTGCTTGCTGTGCTGAAGCTCACCATTAATTTTCAATAAATTTTGCATTGCTTGAAATACCGGAGGTGTACACGCTTGCGAAATAATTGTACTTAGAGTCCAGTTGCAGACGAAGGGGATCACAAAGTACGCGCATGCGAGCGCGGCGCGGATATCGATTGCCTGCACGCAAGTGCTTCAATGATGGTAGGATTATAAATCATTCGCTTCCGCCTACTTTCTTTTCTTTTAACGTGCAGAATTTTTCATCTCAAAATACGTGGAATAAATAAATCGCATACATTTTCTTTTTGGAAGAACCCGTGATAGTTGATGTTGCCCGCTTTCTCTTGATTATAGAATTGCAGCCAGTTGCCAAAGCGTATCACATTGTTTGCTTTTGTTTCACCCACGAAAAGAGCCTCAAAGCCTGAAGCGAAGTACGATCACTGTATGTAATTCTTACAAAAAAAAGGGTATGATAAGAGGAACACACCCGAACTGCCGGCTACCGTATCTCTGGCATAGAGTGTAAACCACAGTGTTTGTAGTTGATTTTTGAACAGTGTCACATTTGGCGAAGAAAGTCCTAAGCTCTTTAACCATGATTTGGAGTCATAATTTTTGGCTTCCGTGACACTTTATCAATTGTCATCGATGAGCCTTTGAACTCACCTGAATTTACTAAGAATGTGTGTGCACTTTGCATGACTGTAGTTTGGATGATAACGTCAAGAAATGCAGAGATAGATGTTTCCCAAGCTGGCGTCATTGTTTCTGACTTGTCCACATCAGGCTGATTGTAGAACGCCTAAAAGCTCACCATCAGAAACGTATAATTTAACAGCTTTCACGGTTGGTAAAGTGTTCTTGCATTGTTGCGACTATACTAGCGCGTAAGGAATGACTGTGGAGCGCGAAAAGTGAAGATGTGCGCTCAATCGTTTTCACGCCTGAATGCTGTCTGCACCGCAAACGTATGGCGACAGCTGAATCTACTAAACTTGTACCATATCCACTTTTCACAACTTACAATAAGATTTTCCAATGCCTTGTACGTAGAACCACTTATTGCACTCTGAACCACTGATGTGAAGAGTGGTTTTGCAGCATTGTCATGGGTGAAATCTTTGTGCGAGGCCATGTTCTGAAATCCAAATGAAAATTTTAGAAAAAAAAAGATGTGAAACAGGACACCTGGTAATTGATAGTAGTGTCCGCATCGAGTCGCGTGTCTTTTTGTACCAAACTGTTTAAGGTTTGTGTAACTAGGCTCTGGTCGATGTCTACTAAATTTAAGAATATCATGACAGTAAGCCAACTTTTGTAAAGACTTGCTTCGGTTATCCAAGTTTGAGAAGAACAATCCCATCCGTGGTACTACAAGTTCCAAGGAAGCTTTTGGTTAGTTCCTTTCTTATACTCTTTACTTCACGGCCTTCCCTCACTACTGATGA